TCAAGCAGAAAAGGTCAGATAAGTTGATGTTAGGGAAGTGAACCCTATGATATGTATTCAAATTTTTTTTTCATGTGATTGTTTCTAACACATTTATATGATTATTTCTTTGTTGCTTTGTATGTCCCCCCCACCTCGGTATAATCCTGCTTTCACTGTATTTGATGGTGGTATAATTTGTGGAGGGAAGGGAAAAAACAAATTGTTTAAATAGGGATACAGGTGGACCCATTGCAACAATAAGACATACAAGTCATTATGTCGAAAACCAACTTTACAGCTCTGGTTGGGGGGAGTGGGGGGGGAGGAGGATTGGGTGGTGGGGATGGGGAAGGATGGGAAAGGATGGGAAGGGGAAAGAAAGGAGGAGGCTACAATGCTTGATAAGAAATTTACTCATTATCTTGCCCATATAATTGTAATCCCTCTGTACAGTATTTCCACAATAAAAAATACAGAGTCAAAGATCTTTATGAAATGGAAGCCTAGGTGGCATGTACATTTCTATATAATAATGCTTCATCTTTGTCCCTCAGGAATGTCGCCATTCTTTCCTCTTTCCATTTTTTTCTTAAAATTATTATCCTTAAGTATTCTTATAAAGGAGTTCCAATACAAAATGTTATTTTGTGAGTATAATGCATTTTGACCGATGTAATCCATTCATTCTGCTCCATCTCTCCCAACCCCACCGTTCCCTCCATTTACCTAGTTTCACTTTCACATATAGACATTGAGTATTAGGATAGTATGACTGCGTTTTCACACCCTTCCTCTTTTCATTCATTTATCTCCCTCCCCTTGATCTCCCTGGCAATATCACAATGCCTCCTGGCATTCATTTTGTTAAACTGTTAATTAGTTTTTCTTTTTTTTTTCTTTTTTAAAAAATTACCCAATGAATTTATTTTCATCTCATTTTTAAATGATTTACCTGAAACAGGATGCTGAGTAGTAGGTTTTCAAAGGAGTGACACTGTTCGAATCCTCCCCTGCACGTACCACACTTTAGTTTGTTAATACATATATGTATTATGCATATGATTTTGTATGTGTTTATTGTGATATATCTTTATTGTTATAACATATTTATACAATCAGCCCTCTGTATTCATGGCTTTGCTCTTAACCTTTGCCTTTCAACCTTCAGAAGTTAGAACCTAGAGCCTCATAATCTGTCAGGAATCAAGTTCGTGTCTGGAAGATCTATATTCTTAACCCTAGGAAAACTGTAGCTAAAGGCTTTTCTGAATGAGATTGGGAATCTGTAAGTGAGAGCCAACTGAAATATACTTTACACTGTAAAAGATCTTGCTGAGTTTGGGTTTTCATCTGAAACTGTACTATTCTTTGCCTTTTCCTCATTTCTTGACCTATTTTATCTACCCCTCTCTTACTGATTTTTCTTTACTACTACACTTCATTCCAAAAAATAAGCCTACACAACTATAATCCTAGATACTCGGGAGGCTGAAATCGAGGATTATGGTTCAAAGCCAGGCTATGCAGACAAATCCAAGAGACTTTTATCTCCAAGTAACCAGCAAAAAGCTGGACATGGAGGCATAGCTCAAGTGATGGAGTATCAGCTCTGAACAAGAAAGCTAAGTAAGAATATGAGGCCCTGAGTTTGAGCCAAATACTGGCACCCAAACACACACAGTCACTCATACACACTACATCCAAATCCTTAGCTTAGAGTTTTTATCTTAAAAGATCACAATAATGCATTAGATTTTATGTGAAAACCAATGTTGAATTTGACAGACATCCAATATACAGTGTATTTAAATCCAATAAACAAACAATTTATAAAGAAATATCAACAAACCTGTCAACAAATGCATGGTGTAGCAGAAAAATGGGGTCATTGGCTGATCCCTGTACCTTGGACATTGTTCCATTCATATACATGTGCAAGGCATTATGCATGCTGCTCTGAGAGGCATCTGCTATCCCAGTCAGTGGATTAGCAAATCCTGTTGGTAAAAAGAAAAGAAGAAAATAAAAGATTACCTGAATGGTTGAAATTCTAAGTGATAATCTCATTTGATTTACAAGTACAAAAAGAACTTTAGTTCCAAATAAAATGCATAAGAAAATTCATCTGATATTGGGATTCTTTACATTCTGAATAGCAATGAATATTCAATGCATCTTTGCAGTGTTAACTTTGCAGTGGTGTTAACGTGGGTACAAGTATGTGGATTAACCAGAAGGAAAAGGCTTAGCCAATTTCTCTTCTTCCCCATGAGGACTCTTTCTGATGTTTCCTTTCAAATGTTCAGTTACAAGAATATTAGATAATCATCATCTTGCACTCTCTCTCCAGTCCTTCATAGCATTTAAAGCAGTTATTTTCAGTCTCTTATAAGTATTCTTGCTCTGGGGACTGGATAATAGCTTTGGTCTTTGGTTCTGGAGAAAGTACAAAATTGATGACCTCCCATAGTATAATTACTCTGTACTAGTCCTATGGATAGCAGATCATAATGTGTTTGCTTTTGCAAAATCATTCATTTCAAAGTTAATTACAAGCAATTTTCAGGGACTATACCCAAGTCATGGTCTGTCTGAAAATCTCCTCCCTCCCATTTTCTTGTCTATGGTAACTTTTATTTTTATTTTATTTTATTTTATTTTTGAGTCTGGTCGTAGGGCCTGAACTCTGGGCCTGGGCGCTATCCCTTAGCTCTTCAGCTCAAGGCTAGTGCTCTAGCACTTGAGCCACAGAGCCACTCCTGGCTTTTTTGTTTTTGCTTGTGTGGTGTTGAGGAATTGAACCCAGGGCCTCAGGCATGCAAGGCAAGCGCTCTACCACTGAGCCATCTTCCCAGCCCTACGATAACTTTTATAAACACATCCACACACACACACACATCCACAACACTCAATAGGTTATTGTACTTTTATGAGTCTGACATGATTAGTTTTATATGGAGTTTAAAATGATCACACAAATTAAGTAATTGCATTATCATAAATATGGTTAAAAAGATTTCAAAAGGAAATTGTGTAAAGTTAAGGAATGAATTAATGGCACAGTATAAAGAAACTCCAGGCTCATAATGGAGCAAAGGCATTAAACACAATGGTTTATTGTCTATCCAATGTAGCAAGCAGTCAATCATATATCTTGATGCCAATATCTGTGTTGGAATGGTCTTCCAGTTTTTAATCTTTGAATGTTGTACGGTTAAGAAATTTTTATCACTCTATTTTGTATATGCTTTTACATATTTTAGTAGATTCTGAATTGTTGTTAGAAGAATTATGAATAGTTTTAGAGAATATAATTGAGGGATTGAACATAGTACAGTTTGTTTATATAAACATATAGGAGGCTTTCATGGAGCTCTACTATGATACTTGTCAAGAGATAGAGAACATATTAAAGATTGAATAATGAATATATTATTTTTTATTTTGCTTCTTCACACAGTTCAGGTCTTTGGCTGATAAAATTTCCTTTAAAAGACAGAAAATTATTTCACCAACATCAATTGCTTCTCTTTATAGCCTTTCTAGAAGAGCAATCCAAGAGAAGAGTCTAAGCATTGAATAATTGACCATATTCATGCAATTCTTTCAATATCTTTCATGTACACTATCTCACATGAATATCAGTACTTATGACAGGAATATATTATCATTTTCCAATTTGACAGATAATGAAAATGCAAAAAAAAAGAAAATTTAAATTCAAACTATTATTTGAGGAATCAATGACTAAATGTATCTCTGACAGTTTCCAAAAACTTACTCTCCTTTCTATGTACTGAAGTTGAGGAATGTCTGATATAATTTGGAAAACTCTTTGTACTGTGCTGAAATAACCTGTGGACTTCCCATTTTCAAAATCCACTGAGTTTTAAGATGGTATAGACTGTTACGGCCTCACCCTTTTCCCAAGATTCCCTGCCGGTAGAACATCTAACAAGCCATTAGGGACCTTGTTATCAGTCACAGATGCCAAAATGGCTCAACGGTGTTTGCCAAGGTCAATAGCAGGATGCAAAAACGATCTCATGCTATGCACTTAAGTTGTGTGATGCATTCCATTGGGAAATTTATAGGCACAGTTTCAGATGAATGAAAAGAGGAAATTTCAATTTGTTGATCCATCTCTCTTTCTCTTTAACACTTCTCTGGAGAGTTTTTGTCTATTTGTTTGCTTTTAATATTGTTGCTTAACTCTGGTACCTAGAGATTTGCATTTAATTGGTCTAGAATGGAACTCAGGCACTAAAAGTTTTAAAAACACCCTAAGTAATTCTAATGTGCAACCGGGGTTGAAATTCACGGAATGGCTAAATTGCTCTTTATTCTCTAAATCTGATTACATCCAAAGTTTTGCTTCTGAATTGTACTATTTTCTTTACATGAACTCTTCCTCTCTTTTATTTTGGCAATTTTCAAAATGCTTTTGACTTTAAAATCTCACAACACCAACTTATACTGAAACGTATTTTCTTAATAATAACTGCCATAATTTGTTGCCTTGGAAGAATGTTTAAAAATAGAGCAACTCCTGTATGGTACTCACTGACTAGGAACTCTCATATATGTTACTTTATTTAAATAGCTATCATTTATTCCAAGAAGCTGGATTATAGATGGTGCTCCTTATGATTGCTGTCAGATTCTGAAATAGGAAAAGATACATAGTAAAATGTTCAGAAGAGAACACATTTGATTTGAGTTACAATTCATATGTGTGCATGTGTGTGTGTGTGTGTGTGTGTGTGTGTGTGTGTATACATATATATACGTTTATGCCAGTACAGGGAATTGAACACAGAGCCATAGACTCTTGCTTTTTTGTTTTGTTTTTTTTTTTTATTCAAGGGTGGTGCCCTCCAACATGTTATACCTCCACATCTGGTTATTTGCTGATTAAACTGATTAATTAGAACATGATCCTGTCATCCTGGGCAGATGTCCAGACTGGCTTCAAACCCCATCCTCAGATTTAATGTATTGAGTAATTAATATATAAGTGTACACAACTGGCACCAGGCTTGAAATCCCATATTTTAAGCAATTTTAATATTCTGTAAAGATGCAGAGTACCATGGCACAAAAGAAGCTAGAAAGAAGCTCTTAGAAAGATATATTTGTACATCTGAAGACTAAAAAGTGAATCTCAGACCTTTGACATATTCCTCCTAAATAACTCTCCTAATGAGCAATTTAATTGAAGAATTATGAAGTACAGTTTCAAAATCACATAATTATTTTAGGAGGTTGTTTTTAATGGCTGTCTAGTAAAAGACTCATAATTCAAGCTGCTTAGAGCAGATTTCTAAAATTACTGATGAAAATATATCATGGCTCTAAACAAGTCCCCAGATAAGTGTACTAGAAGGGTTAAGTTTCAACCAATTTCCAGGTTTTTCAAATAAGTTACTAAGCTTTATACCCATAGAATGTAATTAATTAACATTTTTGTTTATGGGAAAATACTTTTATGTGTGAATAGATAGTCTTTTAATCATGGAGAACTATGCAAACCAGCAATGTACTGGAGGATGAGTGTTTCTTACCACATAATTATTATATAATCACAAAGCCACAAATGCACCACAATTCTGTGCTTTACAGCATGGTCCCAAGTCAGCAGCAACACATGTAAACTTACTAGGAACTGACGCACTCTAGACCTCACAGAACTACTGAATCAGAAAGTGAATGGAACACATCTTTATATCAAGAAGTCCTCAGGAGAATCTAATCTATCTTTCCCTTTCAAAACAGCTCTTCCAGTTCCTTTCATTTTTTTCCCCAAGACAATGGTGAAGAGGTAATAATTAATACTCACTTTTATAAACTTAAAGAAGGAAGTGTTATATATGAGTTTAAGTTGTTTTTTACTGGGAGCATCATCAAATCCTACCATGTGGTAAGATAGTATATAGGATCATTTTCTTTAGGTACATGTCATTGTGTGGGATCCAGGGACTTTCAGTATGTCCTAGATCATGCTAGTCTTTAACCATATGCACAATGTGATCAAGAATTGTGCAAAATTCATGGCACGTCAATTCATTTTAAATTTTCTCTAAAGGTCTTTCTAAGGTGAAATTTTATAATAACTTTCTATACACTAAGATTTTCAAACCATAGAGCCATCAATTTACTAAAACAAAGGCTTTTGTCATTCTACACCCTGTTCTTTGATTCTGAATGAAATGAGAGTACCTACTCCATTTGGTATATTTTATATCTTAACTTTGGTTTGGAAATCACATGAATACCAATTTTTCAAGTAAACTAAGAGTAATCAACCATTATAGACCAAGGCTACTCTTGTTTTAGTTCTAGAAGTAGTCTTGTGTCAATGTTAAGGCTACTTTAGAAAGAAGCAACTGTGTTTCTTCAACCAGAACTGTTCATGCTTTATGTAAGGCTCTGCTTCTGTCATCTTGAATTCTTAACTGTTTGAACTATGTACTCTATATTTTCACCTGTGCTGCTATTCCCTACAAATTATATATCTAGCCCTAGTCCTGTTTTAGGAAAATCCAAAGTCTCCTGAAAACAGTTCTACAGCAAGGGAAATTCAGCTCTAGCAACCACTGAATGACCCATAGTGACCCATGTAGATGGAGTAGATAGATTCGATCTGAATGCTATCTTGCAAATGAAGATTACAAAACCTAGATGAACTATGAAGTCTATTAATTAGCAATGTCAAAACTCTAACTTTAATATTATTTTAAGTACGGGAATCTCCTTTTCTGCCATTCTGATTTTCTTATCTTTTACATGGATAAACTCATATAAGGGGATTATTGCTCCAAGTGTATAATGAGAAGGTACATATGCCATGGATTAAAATTTAGCATCAAATAAATTTAATTCAAGGAAGGATAATTGATAAAGCTTCCACTTATATTCAGTGTGAGTAATTAAGATTAAATTCACTATAAAAGTTTGAATTTTTCATGTCTTTAGTTATAAAGTGTTTCCAAATGCT